AAGAAGAAGAAGAAGAAGAAGAAGAAGAAGAAGAAGAAGAAGAAGAAGAAGAAGAAGAAGAAGAAGAAGAAGAAGAAGAAGAAGAAGAAGAAGAAGAAACAACTAACTGATGAATCTTGGTGACTTCATGAAATTGGATTGTTTCAGTATGATTTATATAAGGATTTATATTTTGAGTCACTTATGAACATACCTTTGGAACAACTGCATGCCCTTGTTGAAATCATCTTTATCTTTCTTATCTAGATACATATATTCCTCATTTAGCAAGTATCTCATATAGCGAACATTTGCAAATATGATGGAATCTTATCCTTGGTTAACTACAGTAATTAGGACTGGAATTTCAGCAAATTTAGATTTGCAAAATTCTATTGCAATGATTTTATAATAAGAGCAGTATTGGTCTGCATCTTTAGTTTCCTAGTCTGGTCTACTTTGAATGGCTGACAAAGAGAGAAAGGGAAGCAAATAGGGAAGCTTACTGAACCTAAAATACATGTTCTTAGGCTTAGTAACAATATGCAAGAAAATTAAGGGTGTGTCAAAGGAGTCATGGGAAAAATGGAGTTCAACATGAGAGAAGCATCACAAGTGTTTTGGATAGAGTTCTAAGCCTAGTGAAGAAAAAGTGAGAAAATAGAAGGAGTAGATAGGGGGACATCTTAGAATATCAGAACATGCTACATTAATCCATTAATTAATTTGGTCAATATATTCTTTCTCATATTGACTTACCAAATACAGTTAGTGAAAGGAGCAGATTTTTTCTGAGTGAAAGCCAGAATCGTACACAGAGGTTTTTCGATTGATGTTCCACTGGACTCATATGGCTTTCATGCATTCGTACTTCTACCTGCTTTGGCATATTGTTGGCACTAGAAGAAAAATAAAATTAAGATATTTAAATCTGAAAACCTACAAGATATTCTACTAAGAAAAAAAATGGAAGAAGTTGATTTACCATGTTGTACAAAAGGTTATTTTACTATTACTAGAAAAGTCTGAAATTACAGTCAGATGTCTCCTTTTTCAAGAATAAGAGGGATGTTGTAATGGATATAGCATTATATTCATGTCAGGAGTACCAAAGCATTTCCGAGTTGAAATGATTCAACAGTGACATCACCTTTTCCCAGGGGACACTGAGTTGGGGGATCTTTTCATGTCCCCATTAAGTTGTCCATCAAAGTGGTATACATCTATTTATTTGCGGGAGCTCACACCAACTCACAGCAGCAACTGGGTCTCAAACGCAAGTCTGCCAATCATCAGCCCAGTGTCCTACACTCGTGAGCCACTGCACATTTTAATGAATATAGTAGTAACAATAGATAATGTGCCTAGTGTGACTAGATTCTATACAGAAATATACAGTTTGGTCCTACTTACACATTTACAATATTGTTGTCTAATGCAAGAAATCAGCAGAATAAAAATAAAAGAAAATGAAGAAATTAGAGATGAGTATAGTGAAATGAAATTAAATGCTGATTGAAACATGACAGGAAATGCCAGTTGAAAAGATAGATTCTTAGAGCAGGAAAGGGCCATATTAATTCAAGGCCAATGCTCTGATTACAATCCAAATTAAAAATCCCAGAGAAATAAATGTAGAATCTCTGCTTATCGGATTTTTGCAGACAATACATGCAGAGCATGAATATGCACCTTCTTTAGCATTGGTGAGGAAAGTTTAAAACAATTGACAGAGGAAAATGTCATGGCTGCTGCAGTCCACAATGGCGCTCTTTCCCAGTTTTCCTACCTTCTTAGCAGTTTTAATTTAGCCATCATACTGAAGGAAAATCTTCACACACACTAGGGATCCAGAGGCTGGCTTTAAAGTAACAATTTAGCCGTTTCCTTGACAATCTGATCTGCAGCCTTCTTTTTCCTTTCTCTCTCTTCTCTTGGCTTGAATGCCATCTGCTTCATTAACAGCTGTTGTCCCAAAACAGTAATGAGGGCAAAAACTCACTAATGAGCTTCAAAACTTTTTAATGAGCCTCAAAATAGAAATTCTATATGTATGCCAGATATATTGCTTCAAGACAGGTCAGCTCAAACATTTTGCTTCCTGCAGTGAAGTCGCAAATGGTGCTTTCCCTCTTCATTTTCAAGTCAAGGGACACATTCTCCTTGGCCAACCAAGATACAGGTTATCCTTGATTTACAATCGTAATGGAGTCCCCTGTTAGGTCGTAAGTTGTGACATTAATAAAACATGTTATCACATGATCAACCTGATTTTACCATCTTTATTTTCCTGTGGTCATTAACTGAGTCACCAGGGTCATTAAGTGAATCTATGGTCATTAAGTGAACTCATTATGGACTATAAAGCCAAAACCAAAAAGTAAATGCCCAATTGTAAATTGTGGTTGCATGAATGGCCATATAATACAATTCAGTTACATGACAACGGTAGTGGGGGCAGCTATCAGAACTTAGAAATTGGGTCATAAATACCTTTTTAAATGGTTGCTAAGCAACTGGTCATAAGCCAAGGAATACCTATATTTTGGTGCCCAAAGCAGGAAAGGGAACTGATTGAAGCACCCACTTCATTCTGCCTATAGCTATGACCAACTCCTGCATTATGGGATAATGCCAGCATTAATTTTATTAGAGATAACATTTGTCTTATTAACTCTACTTCTAAACAAATATCTTTTTATTTTTTAAAAAAAATATAAGTGCAATTAAAAAATATAAAAAATACAGTAATATGACATGTTGTAATAATAATTGGGAAACAACAGAAAATGTAGTGCTCCTCTTATTTCTCCAATATAAGAACATCTCAAAGATCAACAGAGAGAACATCTCTTGAATGTACTCTCTTGAACATATACTTTCTTCCTTCTACATAATTTTCTTAGCTGATCTCCAGAGTTTCATCAGTATTTTCGCTTAAATGACATCTGCTGCCAAAAAAAAAAAGCAAACACTATTGCAACTCTAGTTAGCTCTCACTTATTATGCCAGTGTTCCAACAACCTCCAAAGAAAGAGACTCTAAGAATATCGTCTTCCCCAATATCCACTTTATTAAAGGTTCATATTGATACATCTTGGGAAAACCCAAGTCTTAGAATTCCGGATTTTCCCTAGCCCAAAGAAAACTCAAAATCCAACCCCTGCACCCAATTGTCCATCACATGGTCCAATCATTACTTTGTTCCAACTCCAGTCACTTCCCTCCAGGTGCAGGGTAACATGTCCTTGACTTTCTGAGAAAGGTTAATCTTCCACCAATCTTTGAAGTCCTCCTCCCAAATTCTCAGGCACTGAATGTGGCAGCCCAGAAGCCTTAAAGAAAAATGGCTTCCAAGGTTCCATATTATCCATGTATTGCAATATTTTATAGTTTTTAACTATATTTCAATCTGGGTATTTTTAATATTTTTTTTTACTTGTGTTATAACTTGTAAGATGCCCAGAGTAACCTTGAGTAACCACTCATCAGGGAAGATGGGTGGCACAAATATTTAATAAATAATGAATAAATTTTGGCAACAGTACTGTTGGACTTTTAAACTGTACAAAATGAACGTAATGAATAATGAATATAACAGAATGTCTGATATTATAGATATAGATATAGATATAGATATAGATATAGATATAGATAGATATATTCCTAAGTTTTTGCGGGTACTTACATGTATGGAATTCAGCTTTGTTCGGGTATTTTCCCACGTCCATTATAGTTGTGCCTTTAAAGTCGTAGCAACGTTTCGGCAGAATCTCATCTGCCATCATCAGGCTTTATTGTGTTTATTGTGTTTGTCTGTGAGTCAGACTTTTACAGACATTTCAGTTTTGAATTTGGGGCTAGCCTACGCTGTGCCAGAATGGTTTTTCCTTCATCCTGATTGGTTGGGAGTCTTGGTCTGTGTTTATTGGTCTTGGAGTTTGCTGTGTTCTGCTTGATTGGTGTTTCTAATATCTTCTGTCTGTTTTGTAGCCTTTTTTTGTCTTGATTGGCTGGCAACATTGTGTTTCCTATATTGGAGGCTTTTAGTGAGGCTTGGCTCCGAGTAAATGGAGAGCTATCATTTATTAGGAAGCTAGGTTTCATCTGGGTTCCTGGTTGAGATGTGTTTGAGCTGGAGGTATCAGAGGGAGTCTGTTTGTGCCCAGGTCTTTGGCTGGCTTGTGGTGTGGAGATTTTTTTGTTTTAGAGTGCAGGCTTCCAGATAATTGACAGTCTGGTGGAGTCATCTCTTCTATTCATGCTTTCAGGTCTTTTTTCAATCTCTCTGGCTTCTCTGATAATTCTGTAGTTGGGGTTTTCTACAGTGGCTAGGGTTTTGGTGACGTTGAAGTCGATGCTATGACCTGTGGCTTTCATGTGTTGGACTAGTGAGGAAGTGTGGTCCAGCTTTTTTACTGCATTTTTGTGTTCATCCAGGCGGGTACTTATTCTTCTATTGATCTGTCCAATGTATGTGGCAGGGCATGATGCACAGGGGACTTCATATATGCCTTCGTTTTCCAGGTCAATCTTATCTTTGGGGTTTCTTAGGATGGCTTCTATTTTTCTGTCTGTTTTGAAGGCAGTCTTGATGTGATGCCTGTGTAGTATCTTACTGATTTTGTCTGTAGTGCTTCTTATGTAGGGCAGGACAGCTGTTCCATAGGTCTGTTCATCTTCTAGGTCTCCATTATGTCTCAGTGTGTTTTTGTGGATCAGGCCTGTGATTTTGCTTTTGTGGAAGCCATTGGCTGTCAGTACTTTAGTCAGGGTGCATAGTTCAGGCTTTATGTGTGTCTTGTCTGCCAGGCGTTTGGTTCTGGCAATTAATGTTTTGGCCATGGAGTTTATCTGTGCTGGGTGGTGGTGGGATTGGGCATTGAGCTAGCGGTTGGTGTGTGTTTTCTTCTGGTATATTGTGTGTCCTAGTGTGCCATCTGTTTTTTTGTAGATTAGTACATCTAGAAATGGTAATTGTTTGTTTCCGTTTTCCATGAATTTGGTGGATTTGATTTTGGGGTGTGTGCTGTTTAGGTGTGTTAGGAAATTGTTTAGGTTTTCTTTTCCATGGGGCCAAATAACAAATGTGTCATCGATGTATCTTAGTCATAGTTTGGGTTTGTGGGTGGCATTGGCTAGGGCTCTGGATTCGAATTCTTCCATGAACAGGTTTGCAATGACGGGTGACAATGGTGATCCCATAGGGGCTCCTTCAATTTGCTTGTATTTTGTCCTTTGTATATGAAATATGTGTTGGTTAAGCAGTGTTCTGTTAGTTCCATGAGGTGTTTGGGTGGTTGGTATTTATTTTTGATGATTTCGAGAGTTTCTTTTATCGGGACTTGAGTGAATAGTGAAACCACATCGAAACTTACAAGCAGATCTTTTTGTTCCATGTGTAGATCTTTGATCATTTCCAAGAGGTAGTATGAGTTTTGTACATGTGAAGCTGCTGCTTCAGCATGGGGCTGTAGCTGCTTTGCTAGGTATTTGGCTAGGTTTTGTAGTGGTGCTCCTCTGGAGCTGACTATGGGTCTGAGAGGTATGCCTTCTTTGTGTATTTTTGGGAGTTCGTATAGTTTGGGGGATCTGGAAGATTTTTTTCTTGGGATGATCGTTTGTTGGATCTCTTTGCTCATGTGGCTGATTATAATTTACTTCTTGGTTATTTTTTCCAGATATGTGGTTGGGTCCGTGTTTATGGGTTTGTATGTGGAGTCTTGGAGTAGGTCTGTCAATTTTGTTTCATAGTCTTTTTTATCCATTACTACTGTGGCATTACCTTTACCTGCTGGAAGTATGATTATGCTGCTGTCATTCCTTAAGGCTTGCAGGGCTTTTAGTTCCTCTTTGTGCAAGTTGCTTTTGGGTGGTTTGCTTGTGCATAGGATG